CAATGCATCCCATTATTTAAAGTGAGGACGTGAGACTCATTCCTAGCCACAAGATTTAGATCTTGATTTAAATAATAATTCTTTATTTTTATTATTTAATTCTTTATTTTTAATTATTTAAATATTATTATGACCATTGACCGTTGACTTCGGCGTTGACCGTAGACTTCCGACGTTGACTTCCGGCAAAAATCGTTGACTTCCGGCGTTGACCGTTGACTCCGACGTTGACCGTTGACCGTTGACCATTTGTCTTTTGTTATGTTATTTCTTTCTTGCTAGGTTAGTTGTGTCTTGTTGGTAGGTTAGTTGTCTGATGGTGCTAAGTTAGTTGTGTTTGTTGCTAGTTTAGTTGTTCTTTCTTGCTGCTAGGTTAGTTGTCTGATGCTGCTAAGTTAGTTGTGTTTTGTTGCTAGGTTAGTTGTCTTTTGTTGCTAGGTTATTTCTTTCTTGCTGCTAGGTTAGTTGTTTGATGATGCTAGGTTAGTTGTCTTAAGTTCCTAGGTTTTTTTTTTTTTAATCAAACAACGCCCCGGAAGGGCGGGGGATTGGGCTGGATCCCCAACCTGTGCATAGATCAGGACCCAAAATCGGGGGCCAAAATATCAACGAACCAGATACAATAGTCTACAGAGTCTCACTAACCAAAATAAAAACAAAAACCAAAAGGAAAAAGAAAACCGAAAAATGAAAAATAACCAGAAACTACAATACAAAGTCGATCTTCGGGCTATCAGATGCCCGAAGTAAATGTCTAGACTAATGAAAGCAAAACCTAATCTACTAAAATCGGAAAGATGGATATCCAAGCTGGTCCATCCGAACAAGCGTGCGGAGGCGGAGTGGAGCAGTGTCAGTCTGGATTGTATGTGTGTCTGGTATTGTGGCGCCAAGACTGGCAAGATAGTCAGTGGGTCTGTTCCCCTCACGGAAATTGTGCGTGATCCTGTGATGGACAGACCGGAGTAGAGCTCTAATACGCATAAGCGGGTGCTGAATCTGCCACGAGCCTTGGTGCCTGAGGTCAAAAGGGTGGCGACAGCCGCAGCGTCTAGCTCGATCCAAATGTGGCTAGAGAGGTGGACAGCAATCTGAAAGCCGATCTGTAATGCCTGAATCTCTGCATCATAGCTCGAGGAGGCCTGAAGGGACACGTGGAAGGTGGTGATGAGGGCGCCGCTATGGTCCCGGATCAAGCCTCCTCCTCCGGCAACTCCAGTGTAGCGATCAAAAGAGCCATCAGTGTTCAGCTTGACCCACGGAGAATCAGGTCGAAGCCAAACAACAGCTCTGGGCCAAGGGTGCCGAATAGGCGGTGGTGGGGCCACCATGTAGCGATGTGGAGGCGTGCAGCCTGTCTAGTCTCGGGCGGTGAGCCTGCCCAATGCGATGAGGAGTGAAATGTGTCTCTCTACCTGCAAAACAATGTGAGAAAGCAAAAAAGTAATATCCCTATGCTTCACACTATTCCTTTCTGTCTAGGTGAACCAAAGGATCAGACAAGGAATGAGGAAGCCCACGTGTCCAAGATGTGTGCTCTGTGAGAAAAAACTCAGAAGCTCAAAGAAACTGTACGTGGTTGGTAGGGATATATGTGTCCAAGTGGCAAAATGCTCCCACACTCTCCTCACAATCTCTCTCTCTAGGAAAAGATGGGTAAAGGTCTCGGTCTCATGGCATCCAGTCTCAGAACAACACACACACCGAGAGGGGAAGGAGATCCCCCTCGCGTGTAGCACAGTATCCACAGGTATCCGACGCAAGAGGAGGCGCCAAAGTAACACCGAAATAGTAGAGGTGAAAAGGTCACTCCAGATGGCCGGAAGAGGAGATTAGGCCGATCCCTCAGCCTGATCTGCTCCCAAGCCGAGGTAGTAGTAAACACACCCGATGATGTAAGTCTCCACCTCATGCTATCTGAACCGTCCTCCGAGATAGGGATCTGCTGGATCTAATCTAATAACTGCTCGCTACAA